TTTTTTTTTTTTTTTTTTTTTTTTTTTTTTTTTTTTTGCGGGGTGCCGACGACCCCCGACCAGTAGGTGCCGACCAGTCACGGGTCACCGACGGTCGGGGTGTGCAACACTGCACAGAATGCAATTTCGGAACCATAAAAACAGCCTCGGACGTAGCAGCGATTTAACGATGTACAAGTGTCCGCTCATCAGCTTCCTTCGCTGCCTGGCCAAGAAAAGAATGGAGCCGACCCCACCCCACTCTGGGGTGGGTGGGAAAGATGAAGCCTTCGCGGCGGAGGCCACAAAGTGGGAGAAAGTGGTTAATGAACATTTAAAGTGTCATTTAGGGAAATGCCATAGTTGCCGCGGACCTGGGTGTGCGGATTTGCGCACGAGTTGCGCACTGCGCGCACCGTACCGGAAACATTTTAAGTTCCGGAAGAAAAAAGAACCAGGGGTCTTGTAATTTCTTAGGTCCCCCCCCGCTGCCCCCCCTGACAAAAATGTACAATTCCCCGTGCGAGCTCGGAAATCCAGGCCCCGTTTCGGGGGTCCGACGGTCGCTGGGGGCCCCCAGGCCGGGCCGCACGCCAGTCAGGCACGCGGCCTGGAGGCCCATGGCCAGCCTTAGGGCTGCAGGATTCGATTTGAGGCATACAGTTATTTATTTATTTATTTATTTATATTATTTGCTGTCCTACCTTTGTCTGTTCAGCCGTCGTTTCGGACTCGCAGTTTCTCCGAACAGATTTTTGGTCTGTTCGGACAAAGGCCACGTTTTGGGCCTTTTTCGTACGCAGGCAGGCCCTTTCGAACAAGGTTCGTGTTTGTCCAGTAGCGGACACTCCCTGCTGCATCAGCAGGGAGGACCTGGACATCCTGTAGGGACCCAGGCAGGCCGTTTCAGGCCAGCATCAGAGGCACACCATCGAGGCCCAGCACTGCATATGGCTGGGCCAGGCCAGGGCAGACACACAGTTCTAGTAGGTCACTTCTTGGGCGGCATGCTGCTGGAGCAGCAAGACACGGCTCTGCACGAGAGGTAGAGGAGTAGGTAGAGAGGGAGAGGGAGAGGCGGTGGCCATACCTGTGTGTTCCAATTGATAGTTTTAAAGGTTAGAGCTGGTTTGTCTGTTGATGTCACAAAAAATGGAATGGGGTATGCAGGTCAACTAACCTGGAATGGGGTGGCTGACTATTCTTTACTGGCTGTTTTCTGTGTTCTCAGAGCTCTGATGAGCTATCCAGCTGTTTACGTCACAGACGAGGATGGCAGAGGCTTGTGAAGAGGCCTGTTCAATCACTTCGCAAGGCAGAATACCAGGTAAAGAGATCAGTTTCGTTCTTGCAAAACCTGTGCTGCTCTTTCC